TAAGGTTTTGTTTCATGTTTTAATCAGCCCAGGGTGTGTAGGAGTCTTTTCCCATTTAGAAGACTCTGGTCTTCAGTCTATAACTTATGCTGAGAACTGAAGGGCATAAATGTATCGTTTTCTTTGGGTAATCCATCAAACATCCTCAAAAGAATTCACGCATCACAGTCCTTATGGTCATCCTTACTGTCATACAGTCAAGTGCCACAGACAGCTGGCCTGTTCTTGTTGCTTACTCATAGGTGATACCATGATTAATTGTGATGTCACTGCCTGATGTGGATTGCTAGCATGCCATTTCCCACTGGCAGGTAGTCCAGCTGTTCCTTCACGTCCAAAAGCGCAGCCACACTCCCAGATCCAGTCTCTGAGGGGGCTTTCCTGGGACTACTCCTGGTGTTGAGCCTACAAACTGGTACCCAGTCAGAGGATGGAAACAACTTGGACAGGGAAGTCAGTATCTGAGGGGAAAGAGAGTGCTGGACTGTTTCCCCGGGGCCTTCTGCTGATAGACTGTCCATCAAAGGAACACTGCCAGTGGTTAGACAAGTCAGGTCAGTCTCTGTGCTGAGGACAGGTGATGATGATGAAGAGAATGAGGTTACAAAAGAGCCAGTCAACCTGGTATATCACACACACACACACACACACACACACACACACACACACACACACACACACACACTCACACACTTCTGTAAGCCAGAGTAAGCCAGAGAAGGAAATCTCCTTTTGTCTTTTACAGAATCAACCTGGCTGCCAGCAGGAAATTGCAGTTCTCAGATTCAGCCACCAGAGGACAGCAAAGGACCAGCTAGTTGGTATAAATGGGGCAAACACGGGGCTGGAGAGATGGCTCAGCCGTTAAGAGCACTGGCTGCTCTTCCAGAGGACCTGGGTTCAATCCTCAGCACCCACATGGCAGTTCACAACTGTCTGTAACTCCAGTTCCAGGGTACCCTCAGACAGACATACATGCAGGCAAAACACCAATGCACACATAAAAATAAATAATTTTAAAAAAATGGGGCAAACACACACACACACACACACACCCCTCAATCCCCAAAGCAGAAGAAATTCTGGACTGGCATGTGAGGGGTGGGACAGCAAAGAACACAGTAGGAAGACTCCATGACATTCTGGGCAAGGGTCCTGTGCCAAAACCCAACAGGGAAACAGGCAGAAGAATGGAACTGGCAGGGCGTGTGCCTGGCCAAGGGAGAGGAACAGTCTGTGGGCCAAGGAGGGCTGACAGGTCCAAGGCTCTTTCTTCCCTGAGCAATGCAGGAAGTCAGCCTGCCAGTGGACTGGAGGAGGGAGGGAGCATGGGGTCAGGACAGTGCAGGAGGCTGGGGGATGGCCAGCCAAATCCAGGGCTGTGTGGGAAGGAGGGCACAAGAGGCCTGCTGTTCACTGGAAGCAGACGTGGAGAGAGGAGCAGCTCTGAGGCTGGAGAAATGGGCTTCTCAAGTCCTTCAACCTCGCTGAACCTCGGCTTCTCCAATGTAGGTTTCCACTGACTCTTACCCCCAGCTCACAAGTTACTGCAGGAACCAAAAGCGATGATGTGTAATGAATCGGGTAGCCCCGTGTCTGGTGCATCACATCATCTGCCCCTCTGCCACCTTGCACCCATTCGGTCTGGCTTGCCTTGGAGTTTACCTCTGACCCAGGTATGGGACCAGAGATGGAGAGCCAGCACAACCAACCTGTCACCAGACTGGCTCGGAGCCACGCCATCCGTTTGCCGGTCCCCTTTTAATGTCCCCGACCCTCCAACTCTGGAGTGTTTGAAAGCAAGCCCAGGAGTTGTCTCATGTTGGTCAGGACACTCCAGTATCCAGTAGATGTGACCCCAGTGACATCACAGCTCCCAAAACATTCCTTAACTGTGGATGAGACTTCTGGCTATGCTGGGCTCAGGGCCCAGGCCTGGCTTGGTCCCTGTCTCAGGTCTTCCACTCCTGATGAGGGACTTAGGGCCGGTGGGAACAGGGGTAGCTGCTTCCACAGGAAATTCATTTCCCTTATGCTCTGAAGCTTCTTCCTCACTGCTAAGAGAAAACCCTGGTTAAGAAGGGGATGGGGGGCTTTCCTGGGCACACTGGCTGGCTCTCTCTACCTTCAGTAGAGCCCTGCCCCCAGGGAAACACACCACCCCAACCTCCACCTCCCAAGGGCTCTCCCTAGCCTGCTGTGTGTTCCTGCGCTTGTGCACACCAGGGGGGGGGGAGTGAGAGTGGGGCAGGGGAACCAAGACCTCGAACACCTCCCCTGGGACTCCAGCATCAGGATAGATGAGGGAGGATGTGTTAAGGGGCCCTGAGCCCAGGACAGGCTGTTCCTAGTTGTGGCCAGAGCTCTGAGGGAACAGCCAGCAGGCCTGACTCCCGAGAGGCAAGCCCACCCCCAGCCATCACCCTCCTCCATCTCAGCCTCTCTTCTCCCTGCCGGGGGTGGGGGGTGGGGGTGAGGGGTAGGGGCAGGCTCAGGCACTCTGGCCGGCCGGTAGCTGTTTGGATATCCAACCCTGGTACTTCCAGGCCATGGGGAGCTAGGGTCAGGACACCTTGACACCAGTGGAGCCTGGTTGCTAATCTTACAGTGGATCCAGCTCCATTCTAGGGCACCAAGCCTGGTCCAAAGGAAGCTGATAATAAATTGAGACACCCCACACACACACCTCAGATGTGGGCATCAGGACCCTCCAGTCTGTTTCTCCACCTGCCCCACTGGCACATTCCCCTCTACTCTGGGCATCCCCCCAAGACTGTTAGAAAGCCACATGAGACTAGTAAGCCCAGAGAGCTGCCAGAGCCTGGGAGGAAGCAACAACTTGAGAATCAAATCCTGCCTCTGCCACAAGCCCGGGGGGTGAACGGTAGGAAAGACTTTCCTAGCTTATTCCTAGAGCTGGGCTGGCTTCTCACATTCCTCCAAGATCCCTTCTTTGGTGGCTGCTGCTCTCTCCTAGGCCCGTCAGTGGCTGCTGCCTCTGGACGTGAGCATTAAGTCCAACCGGAAATCCTTCCTGTCCAGGGGAATTATTGATTTCCACAGCTTCGGGAAGTGTCGAAATCCAGCCTGTGTTTGCTTTGGGTTTGTTTTCTTTCCATGGAGCACAAAGTGCACGTGTGACATACACACACACACACACACACACACACACACACACACACACACACACACACACACACACGGTGGGGGTTGGGGAGGCAAGTGGGAGGAGGCTGGGCCAGAAAACTGAAAGCCAACCTGGAAACTTCAGGCTGGGCTCCTAGTGGACAGATAGCACAGGAGCCCTGGGTTCAAGGCTCACTCCCCTTCCCACTCAACTCATGCAGTCTGAGTGTTGCTGGGTAGCTGCAGACAGTGGGACCAAGAGGTCACCTCCCCTGGGCCTGTCCTAGGGCCAAGCAGCTGCTGAGACTCACGTTCACTGGTCTCTTTTATCGGCATAGTAAGCTGAGGGAGTTGGACCTCAGAGAGGTGGGGGTTGCGGAGGCAGGGCTAACCTAGAAGGCAGCCCTGCAGGACAGGGCACTCTCTGCTTGGCACCCCTCTAGGTGCTAGTTGAGGTCCCAGCAGTTGGCATGTGACCGACCAGCTGTGGAGTTGTATACACGAGTCATCGGGTCCCTTGATCACTCTGCGGGGTGGGGTCTCCTCCACTCACCTGCTTATCTGGACCTGACACCCACTGTATCCAAGAAGACCCCAGCCTGCCTGACATTACACCAGAGGATGAGCGGGAATTCTCTTTGTTACTCGGAAGAAAAAGGCTTGGTGGCTTCCAGGGTTCACCCTACACCCCAAATCAGACAAAGCTCTTGCTTCTGGAGTTAGTCTGTTCTTGCTGGTCCTGTCCCCTCCCCTCTGGTTTTCTCAGCCCCATCTGGAGGCCACAGTCCAGAGGCAGGAGCTTGCCCACACACTTGCACTTTGACCTGTTTAAATCTAGTGACCTGGAAACTTGAAATTCAGAACTGGGATTTCCAGTTTTCCTCCCCATCCCCTGACCACCAGGCAACAGTAGTCTTAGACTGATAAGCTGGCTCCAGCCAGGAACTGGAGGCCCCGCCTCACCAGCCCCTCACTGACTGTACTATGAGTTCCCACAGGTCATAAGGGGACTCCTCAAACCAGGTGCTGCTCAGGGTGAGCAGTGCACCCAGGGGTCTTTAAGAACCCAAGGACATGGGGGCTGGAGAGATGGCTCAGCCGTTAAGAGCACTGACTGCTCTTCCAGAGGACCTGGGTTCAATTCCCAGCACCCATATGGCAGCTCATAGCTGTCTATGACTCCAGTTCTAGGGGCCGATTTCTGTGAGTTTGAGGCCAGCCTGGTCTACAGAGTGAGTTCCAGGACAGCCATGGCTACGCAGAGAAATCCTGTCTCGGAAAACAAAAAACAAAACAAACAAACAAAAAAACCCAAAGGTACGTTCAGACCAGTGTCTTGGCATAGCTGCCTCTGGAGGTGGCTGGTGAACAGTAGGACAGGACTGAAGGGAAGTACTGGCGCTTGGCCAAGAGGCTTCGTGGACAACCTGTAACAGCCTTATCCAGTCCTGACCTTGCTCAAAGGAACTCCCCATTCCCTCTTCCCTTGCTCGCATGTGGTAGTCAGTGTCTCGGACCCCAATCCCGGGCTCACATTCAAACATGTGCAGCCACACCGGAGCCCGGGGCTGCTCTCGGAGACAGAGTCACTCCTATATATGGTTACCCAGGAGTGGGAGTCTCATCTGAGCTAATGTGTGACTTAATCTGCTGACAATCTCACCCCGCTGGGGCCCCACTTGGGGAGAGCCCTCACTCTGGAAAGAGTGTTCACTTGAGAGCAAAGGGGCTGGGAGGGGGGCAGGACAAAGACAGTATGACCAGATTCGGGGAAAGCAAATGCCACCCAAGTTCTTCCTACCCCTGCTTTGTCCTACATCTGTGGAAATGTCCAGCTTCTCCCATGTGCCCTGTAAACAAACTCACAAGCCTCCTTCTTTCCAAAGTCCTTTTAATACAGCACAGAAAGGCTCTATTTTCATAGGCAAGCCGTATATAGAGTCTCCAGGAATAAGGCACACACCGGAATGCCACCCCGAGGCCGGCCCTTCAGGGAAGTCAGGAGCCTTCTCCATGCACCCCCTCCAGGCGGGGCTCACGGGTTCTGTTTGTCTTCTTAGCTGAATGCACACACATGAACAGATACAGACGTGGACAGGGTCACCACATGGAGGTGCAGGGGTTGGCACAGGGAAGCTGGCCATGAGAGCAAACAAGGATCCTCATTGCCATCTCCCGGAAGGCTACAACACCCCTCACATCACTGTTAGTTGTTGACTGGCTACAATGTAGTGAGGTTGGATTAGACTTTTGTTTAGAGTAGATTCAAGTTCATTAGATGCTAAAAGGCAGGTGGAAGGGCTCAGGTGGACAGGTCCAAGTTCAAAGAGCATGGGGTTGGGAGGCAAGGCTCGGGCGAGGAGGAAGCCTGCCTCCTGTGTTCCTGTACCTCCTTGGGTCTTGCGGGCAAGTCCAAATGGGCTGGCAGATCAAAGGACCTGTTCGTCCGATGTGTCCTTTTCCCTTGCCCATCCCCTGCCCTCCCCTAAAAAATTAATAAAACCATAATAACAAGATAATAACATGAAGGTGCAGGAGAAAAGATTACAATACCACCTGTCCACCTCAGAAGCCAGAGGCAGAGGCACAAAAGATCTCTGTTCCCTTTTTACCATGTTGTCCATTGATAACTCCCCGTAAAAAAAGCAATACTTCCAAAAATACACAAATGTATAAATACAGGACAAGAGCATATTAATAAGTCTAACACTTGAATAATATACTGGGTGCTTAATACTGATATTTTCATCCAAGGAAAACAAAATAGAAAAAAAAAACCATAGCTTAAAGGATTACAAAGATTTTTTTCCTCGTTAGAATTATGTACCAACTTCATATAATAATTCTATGTAGATAATATTTCCTTCTTAATGTAGTTCAGTTTGCATACTTTTTACAGACGAAAGCATAGAAAAAAAAAACAAGAAAAAAGGAAAAGTTCTCACTATAAATATCCTCTTACAGATCAACCAGACTTACAAAACTATGTCTAGAAATCTGTTCAATATGGATTGCCCTCTCAAAAGCACTGACTTTTTAAAAAATGCCTCTTTTTGTTGTTTTCAATTTCAACAATATCAAGCAATCCTATTTTTCTTTTCTTTTCTTAAAAAAAAAAGAGAACCTCAAATATATACAAACAAAAATCACTATGAAGAATTTGGGGGGGAGAGGCTACCAAGTTCAGGGTCGTAAGAAAAACTGGTAACCATGCAGAAATTTTAACATCTATGAATTTTCCCAAAATACACACATAGCATTTTTTTTTAAAAAAGAATTCTGTGTCAAGTATAACTCAAAATAAATACAAATTCACAAGTAGAGCTATTGAATACTTCATATGGGGTAAACACCATTCTCTCTCAACTAGATCGCTAGATCTACTGACTGCAAGCGATTGTCCCTTTTGAATGTACTAAACCACACACTTTCTTGTCCCTTGGGTTCCCAGGCCCTCTGAGCATTAACTCTCCAGCACCCAGCTTAGACAGTGGTATCTTTTTCTTGCCTCAAAAAGATCACAAGTTCAGCCAAAGCACTGCAAGGCAGGCCCAGGGAGAGGCTGTCTGAGGCAAGAGGGCCCAGCTGCACACAGACTTCAGTACAGGGACCCAAATGCTCACTGTAGGGAGAGGTCCCACTTTCTGCTGGCCCTGGCTTCCTGAAGACTGTTGCTGGGCTCTCTGAACCTTTGACTTGGTTCACCCATGCCCAACGAGTCCTCATTTGGGACATGAGCACGCTGCCCACTGATGTGGACATTCTCTTTAGAGGCCCTGTGGGATGACTGACAGAAACAGCCCTTTCCTAAGTGACAGGAAGCTTGGCATGGGGCGGCCCTAGTGCAGCAGCAAGGCTGGGGAGTCTTTGGTGCTGGGTGCTCACAGTCTGCAGCCCAGCATGCTACCATTCCTGGGCAGCAGGGTGGCAGCTAGTGCTTTGGACTGCCACAGGTATACCTTTGTTAAGTATTCAGAGGGTATGTTCTCCCAAAAATCTATCCTGCAGCTAACTGGCTGCAGACACGCTCATCTCTTCGACTCACTCCCTGGACCCGTGGTTAACACTTCACTGTGACTCCTCAGTCGTACAAAGCATTCTCATTTGAAACAAAGGGCAACTGGGCACCATGTGTAAACACTGAATTTCAGGCCTATTTCATGGTCTGACTCTTTTCTTCTCCATAGAGGCATAGTGTCGGGGCAAAGTCAAGCTACTCAGTCCTGGCAGCTGGTGAAGAGGAGAAAGGCAGGAGAAATGTGGCTTGTCACAGGGGAGGGGGATGCACTGCTGATCCTAACCGGGACGGCAGTCTTTCTGGGCCATGTGACATGCCAGGAGATCTCCCTGCCTTCCTAGAAAAGTAGGAAACCATTTTCCCCGGTTTCCAAAGGAGAGGTTCTGCGGCTCATTTTAGGCTTGCCCACTGCGAGGGGCTGAGGAGACCTGGGATGGGGTCATCTCCCATCTTCCCCGGGGATGGGACCACCAGGCAAGGAGGGCTGTAGGAGGGGACCTGGCATCGCTCAGCCTGATTTCCTAAGTGGCTACCATGGGCAGAGGTTTGGAAGGCAGTGCTCTAGGGGCACTCTAGGGGTACCCCATCACCCCAGTGATGCCCTGTGTTCCAGAGGTAGCCAGCTTTCTTCTAGAACATCAAAGCTCACTGGGGCCTCTTGGCTTTCTGGTGGCACTTTCTTAACTAGTGGGGAAACTGAGGCTGGAGATGAGATGTCCTTGCCCCAGGTGGCATAAAGTAACTCCAGAATGCCAAGAACTGCATCCTTCATGGCAGAGCAGGCTTACAGTTTCTGTGGGGTGGTGTCCCTGACATGGGTAGGAGGCTAAGGATGAAGAGAGAGCAGCTGATGAAATCCGAGCTTACAGGGCAGTCTGGGGGAGACCATGGGAGGCGATGCCGGATGTCCCCTAGGATGTCTTGGAGCACTGTTCACTGTTTAATGTCCTCCTGCCTACCAGGCCCATTGGCAGAGGGAGGCTGTATTTAGCTACCAGGTACAATGCAGTGATGTCAGGGGTGGTCAGATGTGGGACTCAATGTGGGCACAACAGAGGACCACTCCTCAGCAGCTGCTAGAACAAGGGTCTGCCCTCAGTGGCTACAGCTTAGGAATGAAACAGGGCTTCCCCAGAGTGGCTTTTCATAGGCGGCAAGCTGCAGGGTTCTGGGTGGGACAGGACCTGGATGGCCTTGGAGGGAAGACTTCCCGCAGGCCTCAGGATTCACAGTTCACTAGTGTACTTGGCGGATACAAAGCCACTCAGCTCCAAAGACACTCAGGAAGAGAGCCTGCGGGAACACCAAGGCCTCTGCTGGCCTCTGTCCCTCTACAGAGCCCGGGGCCTATGGTGAAGAGTCCCTGAGCCTCGTGTCTCTGCACCCCGTTGGGAACATGTCAGCCACACTGTTAGCACGCGAGACGAGGACATGCGCCCCCTCTGCTTAAGCCCACAGGCCTGTGAGGTCTCCTCAAGTATGGGGACATTCAGCCCTTCGGACAGCACGGGGAGGTGGCAGCCGAGGGGTGCTGCAGTGGCGGCCAAGGTCACTGCACACGACGACAGTAGTAGCCCAGGACCTTGCACTTTTCACAGAGGTGCTGTGGGTGCTCCTTGCTCTGGTCAGACACATCCAGGCCATCCGGCTTCTCCAGGGGTCTCTGCAAAGAGGAGGAAGGGGCCAGGGGGTGGGGGAGAGAGAATCCACAGTTACAGAGGTAGCTCAGCCAATGCCTTGGCACCCCACCTTTTGCCCATTTCCAGACATATGAGTCCAGGAAGCTCAGGTGAAATTCCTGGGCTGCCTAGAGCCAAGGCAGGGGGTCTCAGAACCGGATCCATGGCCAGATATGTTGCCTGATCCACAGTCCTCTCTCGGCAGCTGTCCCCTGAATGAAGCTCAGAGAGCTCCCAAATGCAGACCAGAATCAATGCAGCTCAGGGGTGCAAAGGCATCTGCCGGATGTAGAAACTGAGTCTCAGGCAAAGGAAACCCCACCTCACATCTGTCTCCCTGTCACTCCAGGGGCCGTGGGAGTCAAAAGATTATTCTGAACCTAAACTACAACACTTCAGCCCGAGGGGCAACAGGACTCTTAGTTCCACAAAGCCAGTCTGGGGTCTCGGGTCAACCCCAGCCTAGGTCCTGGCCCAGTGCCTGCCCGTTAATCGAGTGACTCCATAAACAGAGCCTTTTTTTTTTTTTTTTTTTTTTTTTTTTTTTTGGTTTTTCGAGACAGGGTTTCTCTGTGTAGCTTTGCGCCTTTCCTGGAGCTCACTTGGTAGCCCAGGCTGGCCTCGAACTCACAGAGATCCGCCTGCCTCTGCCTCCCGAGTGCTGGGATTAAAGGCGTGCGCCACCAACGCCCGGCGGAGCCTTATTGTTTTCTAATGGGGAAACTGAGACCTAGAGAAAGGAGGCAACTTACCAGGCCTGCCATGCCATATGTGCCTCCTCACCGTCTGTAAAGCAGGCCGTTATGGTGCTCATTTGCAAAATTTGGAAGGATCCTGAGAGAGGCTAGCTGTCCTGGGCTGCACTAGGCACACACAAATACCCTTCTTAAAAATTACATTTATTTAATTGTGTATGTGTTAAGTGTGTGTGTGTGTGTGTGTGTGTGTGTGTGTGTGTGTGTGTGTGTATGTTCACATGTGTGCCACAGCCTGAGTGTTGGAGGTCAGAGGACAACTTGTAGAAGTCAGTTTTCTCCTTCCACAGTGTGGGTCCTAGGGATTGGACTCGGGTCATCGGGTTTGGGGGGCAAGGCCTTTCCCCCTGAGGCACCTCACCAGCCCTCAAGCTCTTTTGTACTCTAGACAGCTTGGGTCTCCCTGCCTGCTCTCCCTCCTTACCCTCCCCACAACAGCCAGCGCAGACCTGTAAACACTGCCGAGATCACAAGGAGAGGCTCCGAAGTGGACAGCATTTCAGTTGGCCACAAAGACCTTGTTCTCCTCCTAACCCCAGAATGATACCTGTCTGCAGAAGGGTCCTCTGCACAGACTTGGGGGGCTCAGAGGAAACCGGTCAGGGCCAGCTGGGAGCCATCTGGCAAGAACAGGGGAGCAGACACCAGAGGCTGACATGGGATATGGGGCAGAGACCCTTGGCTACGGTGGCGTGTCGGGGAGGGCAGCTGGGATGAGTGCTGCCCACTGTGTAGACTGGTACTCAACACTAGCAGGCTGCTTTCCCACCTGCTCCAGGCCTTGAGCCAAGGTGACCCTCGGAGGAGCTGGGCAAATGGGATGGAGGGCTGGAAAAGGTGAGGGTTTAGGCTGCAGGTGGGCAGGATTCTACTTTGTAGCTGCCCTGGAAACGGTGTCATACAACTCAGCACTTAAACTTCAGCTACAAAGGGAAGACCTGCGAGGAGAAGAGCCTGGGTGTGGACCTGAGGGCCTTCCAGAGGACTGGCCACACTCGCCCCTCCTAGTCTGTCCCTGCAGGGGAGAGGAGAAAGAGTTGGACTTCCTTACAGACCAAGTCCCAGATGGGAGCTCAGCCTCCAAACACTGGCTGTGTGGCCTTGGCCTGGCCACCCGACCCCTCTGAGACACCATCTCATTCCCTTCTGTAGAGTGGGTAGCTGGCTCTTGTTCAGGGAGTTGTTCTCAGCAAACCTGGCGAGGACGAAGACTAGACAGAGGAAAAGTCCTTCAAGGTACTGGTGTTGTTTATTCTTAATATTAATGGGAGGGGGCAGTGACATGGGGTCATCTGCTGTCCCAAATGTCCCGGAGAATGGGAGCCAGCATTAATCTCTCACTTTATGGGCTTGCATGTCCCCAGGGTCAGGAAGCTGGGCCTCTGCTGGCTGAGCACAGTGCCAGGTTCTCGTATGTTCTGTATGAAGGACTCCATCTTGAGCTGGGATCTGGGTCCCTATGCCTTTATCTTGGAGGCCCCACTGCTCAGCTCCCAAAGGATGGTCTGGCCAAACCCAAGCTGATGTCTAGCCACTTTCTGCTGCTCCCCACAGTCTACTACCCACCGCCTCCATGAACCAGCCTTCTAGTAAGGGACAGAGGGACAAGAGTGAGCCAGTTTCCTCTGCCTTGGCTCCCACTGGTTTGGGCTTTGTGTGGCCAGGCCATGTTGCTCAGGCTGCCTCAAGGGCACAGCTTCCACAGGAGTGGTGGGTCACCACAGATGAGGAAATCTTAAGACATCTAAAAGTCTTGTCCAGAGGCCTCCAGAGAGGAAATAGTGAATCTCAGGCCCCACACTGTCTGAAACGCTGCCTGTCTTCGTCCTATGGCTCAGGGCTAGCTCTAGATCTCATGTACTCTTCTAGCCTGTTCCAGATCCTTGGCTTTCTGTCACCAAAGATAGCATCCTCCTCTGAGGTTGCTCCCAGCCCTGTGGTCCTGGCCCCTGAGAACTCACTAGCATCTGCCTTGCTCTGCCCACCCTGCCGGGCACTGCTGTCCTAGGTTTCATCCCAGGGGTCAACAGAGGTCCAGTGCTCCCAGGGCTAAGGGCAGAGCCAATCACTGAGACTTGAAGAGTATTCTGGGAAACTGCTTCTGCCCATGTCTCTGCAGTGTATCCATGGTTCATGGCACCACAAGTCAGCTTTGAACACCACCTCTGCCCTCCCTTGGCTGGCAGCCACCACCTCAGCTTGCCTTTCTGCAGCCTGGGCTAGTGGGTAGTGACGGGTGCTGTCTTTGCTTGTGTGTGTGTGTGTGTGTGTGTGTGTGTGTGTGTGTGTGTGTGTGTGTGTGAGAGAGAGAGAGAGAGAGAATGAATAAAGAGAGAGTAAATGACTGTCTTAAAGGATTCTATAACCACAGAGCTCCACAAAGACTTCATGATATATATCTGTGTGGACAGCCAGCAAGTCATTTAACCTCTCTGCTCATATTCCCCTCCAAAAAGTGTCTGTACTAGAGGCTCTGTCTGCTAGGCCTGTAGTGAAGGGAGTGGTTAGAATGGCATCTGGTTCGTGGGGAACCTTCCATGCACTGGCTAGTTTGTTTGTTTGATTGAATGATTGATTGATTGATTGATTGATTTTTTTAGTTTCCCAAGATAGGGTTTCTCTGTGTAACTGCCGTGGCTGTCCTGGAACTTGCTTTGTAGACCAGGCTGGCCTCCAACTCATGGAGATCCCCCTGGCATTGACTAGTATTTATGTTGCACATCAGCAGTAATATTTTGAAGGGGAAGGATCGTCAGCTGAATCCCTGGGAAATGCTCTTGCCTGACCCTCCTGGCCGGCCCTAGCTCTGGGTTCCTTTGAACTGCTCTTCTCCTTGGCCTTGGTGTCCAGGCTGCAGTCACAAGCTGCCAGTGGGGAGCTTGGGGGAGCTGTCAGGATGACCCCCCTCTGTGGAAGGAAAGACCCAGCAGCTGGGACTGATCTGGGAGCCCCCCCTCCACCAGCAGGGAGGCAAAGCCCATTAGTGTTTTCTTCTCTTGGGGGGCGGGGGGCTGGGTTGTCTCGGGAGACACAGTTGGAGCCTGACAGGAAACAGATGTAGTGGGGGCAGGGCTTCTCAGAGGGATGAGGTGGCCCAGGTCAGCACTGGGGGGAGGGGCAAGAGCCCTTCTCCATCCCCCTGGCTCCACTGCCTCCTCTAGGAGAGGCAAGGAGGCAGTATTCCCAAATCTCAAGTCAGAGAGAGATGCACAAGAGCCCAGGAACCCAGAACTTGGCCTGGAGTGGGGGTGAGGGTGAGGGGTACAAATCCTTCGTACCTCAGTCTCCCCAGTGCACACAGTAGGTGCTCAACAAACACTGACTGGATGATGGTGAGTGGGGAAAATGGAGCCTCAAGCCCTTGGAGGGTTCTTCTAGATTGGGCCCCTGTGTGTAGAGCCAGGCTGGCAGCTCAGCAGGCTGCATTGAGGCTCTGCTGCTAAGATGTGGGGAGGGGGAAGGCAGAGAAATGACAGGGATGGCCTGGCACGACCGAGGGGACCCAGTAAGTAGTAGCCTGCCTTGCCAGCCACTGGGGCACACAGGAACACTGCAGGGTAGGTGTAGTGGTGTTGTGTTCCCCAAAATATTGTGCACCCTAATAAACTTATCTGGGGTCAGAGACAGAACAGCCACTAGATACAAAGGCTAGAAAATGGTGGCACTCACACCTTTAATCCTAGCACTCCAGAGGTAGAAATCCCTCTGGATCTCTGTGAGTTCAAGGCCACATTGGAAATGGCCAGGCATGGTGACACATGCCTTTAATCCCAGGGAGTGGTGGTAGAAAGCAGAAAGGTATATAAGGCGTGAGGACCAGAAACTAGAAACATTTGGCTGGTTAAGCTTTTAGGTTTTGAGCAGCACAGTTCAGCTGAGATTCATTCTGGATGAGGACTCAGAGGCATCAAGTCTGAGGAAACAGGATCAGCTGAGGATCCAGCGAGGTGAGGTAGCTGTGGCTTGCTTCTCTGATCTTCCAGCTTCACCCCAATACCTGGCCTCAGGTTTGATCTTATTAATAAGAACTTTTTAAGATTCATGCTACAGGTAGGTATCAGGTTCCCCTGGCCCTGAGTTTGTGAGTTGGCTCTGCCCCTCCTCCTAGGTCATCAGACAGTAGGTGAGTCCCCGAGACCCGCACGCAGTCCAGATCCTTGGAACTCTGACACTGAACACCTTGTGGAAATTGGGCTGTCCTAACTCACCATCCCAGGCCACCACCACCGGCCTATCCTTTCTGCCTACCCCACGCCCGCCCCCTCCCCTTTCCCCTCCCCCCAGCCCACACCTACTGCGTCCTTGCCTCGGTCCCACCCCTGGCGGCTCCGCCCCCACCCAGAGGCCCCGCCCACCCACCTGCTTGTGTGGGTACACATTGATGTGGCACTTGATGCACTCCTGCCCCATGTTGGCCCAGGAGTTCCCGCTCATCCATTTTCTCTTGCACTTGGGACACTTGTACTCCCCGAAGCAGCGCTTCTTGCCTTGGTAAGGTGTCAGACCCTCACCTTTAGGGCGTGCCTGGAAGACAGGAAGTAAATACCAGAAATGGAGCCTAGGTCTCCTCTCCAGAGTACACATGCTAATGCCAGGACAGAGACAGTGGGGTACAGGGCTTCGGAGGAGTTACTTCTCCATCTCAGTGTTGCAGGGGCAGCTGGGTGGGCACAGGTTCTTGGTCCCACCAGGGAGATGTCAACACAGGGACAGGAACTAGTGCCTGACAGAAGGGATCTCCTCAGCTGCCCCCACTTCCAACTGTGGGCTCCCCTAACTGGAGGTAATCATTTTCTACGCTGGCTTTGAACTCAAACCTCCCGTCTCAACATCCAGGGTTTGGGGAAGACAGAAAAACACCCTCTTGTCCAGTCTCTGAAGCATCTCTGTGTCTTCTGTGTCCGCCCAAAGGCAGCTCCACACTGGCAAACACATCGGTGTATATGTCTAGGCCGCCTGTCACTCACCAGACAGACACAAATACACATGCCTCATCACCTTGCTTTTTTATTTTGAAGTACAAGGTCTCACGTATCCCAGTCTGGCTTTCACTTACTACAGAGACAAAGATGATCTTGAACTTCTAGCCCTGCTACCCAGTGCTGGGATTACACACAAGTACCACCATACCTGTCTTATGGTATGCTGGGAATCAAACCCAGGGCCTTGTGCATGCTGGACAAGCACCCACCAACTGAGCTACATCTCCAGCCCAACTCATCTTGGTGTCTCCTTCATGTCAGCACCAGCAGCTACTATACTCTGCTTCACAGCTGCCTGGTGGCAGAATTCCTGAGAGCTCAGCACGTGCTACCATGAGCGCTTACTACACGAGTCAACATACATGCCTTTGTAGAGGAAATTTCCAGAAGTGAAACTTCCGGGGCAAAGGGCATGTGCACTATTTTTCGTGACAACCCCTATTGCCGCTGCCTCCACTCTCACAATGCTTTACCAGCTTTGTAGTCCAGATCCCCAGGAGCAGAGTTCTAGCCCCACTTGTCTGCAGCTGTACTTCCCACATACTTGTTTTTCTCTATTGTAGTTGTCTGTGCTCAACCGATCGGGAAGGATTCAACAGAGGGTCTCAGAAATAAACAGCCCGTAAGCTTTGGACTGTGCACAGTTCTGAGGAACACCATGAGAGTTCTCTCCATGTGCCTGGGACATCGAGAGTCTCATTGCCCCATGTATCCACGCTATATATGCTACCTGCCCATTAGTTATTCAGTGACTGACTGTTACCGGATGAACTGCAGTATCTACAGTGCTTATGTTCAGGTGGCCCTCGTTGTACATAGCAATTGCCCTGGGGCACAGGTGTAAGGTAGCAGACAACTCCTATGCCAAGGAGAAGTCGTAAAATGTTTCCATTACCTGAAAAGGGGAAATTTGCCAATATCAAAGAGGAAAAAAGAAATTGGAGGTTGCTAAAAATCTGTGGTGAGAACAAATACTCTGTTGGGAAGCCGATGAAAGAAAGAGACCCATGCTAGTTTTGATCTTGCAACTCCAACCACTAGTTACAGCCCCAGAGTAGGCATTCACCGGGTCCTGAAATGCACCTTTCTACATTAGAGGAAGCCATAGTATCACTAATCTAAAAGGTACACCGTCTTCTCAGAGGAGGTTTGACATACATCTGTTATAATGAGCAAGACACATTTTTGCATGTATTTAAAAAATGGTTTGTTTATATTTCATTTCTGGCGGGGGGGGGGGGGGGAGGTAACTTTTTTTTTTTGTTTTTTTTGAGACAGGGTTTCTCTGTGTAGTTTTGGTGCCTGTCCTGGATCTTTTCCTGTAGACCAGGTTGGCCTCAAACTCACAGAGATCTGCCTGGCTCTGCCTCCCGAGTGCTGGGATTAACGGCATGCACCACCACCCGGGATGTGTGTGTGTGTGTGTGTGTGTGTGTGTGTGTGTGTGTGTGCACACGCAGGTGTCTGCTGCAGTCAGAAGAGGGTGTCAGATCCCCTGGAGCTGGAGTTACAGGCAACTGTGAGCCATCCATTACGGGTGATAGGAACTGTACTCTGGTGCTCTGAAACAGCAGCAGACACTGTTTCTTACCACTGAGTCATCTTTTCAACCCTAACCTTTCCCTTGTTGGTTTGCAACAAGAAAATTGATTTGTGTTTTATAGATGAAAGAAGCTGGTGCTCTCCTGCACAGCTTGATACCTTTATTGAAGTATGATCCAAATACTGCAGGTCTCACTCATTGAAAGTGGTCAGTTCAATGGTTCTTAGTACATTCAGAGTTGCATAGCCATCAGCACAACCCAATTTTAGGACATATTTGTCACTCTCCAAAAATCACTCTGTACTCATTAATACTCCCTTTCCTGCTCATTTGCTCCTATGAACTACTTTCTGCCCCTGTAGCTTTCTCTAGTTTATATTCTGTCTTCCGTCTGACTTCTTTCACTTAATGTAATGTTTCTGAGGCTCCGCCATGCTGAAGCATGTGTCCGTACTTCGCCTTCTCTTGCTGCCAAATAATGTCCACTGTACGCCAATACCACGGCTCAGGACACACTGGGCTGCTTCTCAGTCGGCGTCAAGCCGCTGCGAACCTACATGCGCTCACAGAGGATGGTTACCTTAAAGTCCTTGTTACCACAGGATTTTAAGCTGGGAGACCTACTCATAGCTATGCACCCACACTAGCCTTGGATTCTTGCTAGCTGAGGCTGAGGACTGGCTGACCAGTAGAGCCTCTCCTCTTCTTGAGTTTGAGGGAGGCTTGAAGCAGGCTCTGTGTGTCATCATTAGTACCCAGCTCGGCAGTGACAGGACTGTCTGGCAACATGCTGGACAGGAAGAATCTTGAGCTCCACCTTAGAGTCAGCACATCAGAGCCTGTGTCCGTGTGTGTTGGGGGTGAGGTGTGCAGGCACATCTGTACACATGTGGAGACTAGAGGTCAAAACAAGGGGGTCTTCCTCAATCGTGCTCCTTTTTATTTTTAAAGACAGTTTCTCACTGAACCTGGAGCTGACCAGTTTGGCTTGGCTGGCTACCCAGCAAGCTCCAGGAATCCTCCTGTCTCCATCTTCCCAATGCTGGGTTACCGACAGGTGCCAGCACACTCAGCTTTTTCTGTGGGCAGTGGAGATTAAACTCGGGTCCTCATGCTTGCACAGGATGCATTTTACCCAATGAGTCATCTCCCCATCCCAGAGCCTGCATTCTGATAAGAACCCCCAAGAATTTCTCCTCCACCAGATTCAGGAAGCTTGGGCTATGGGATGATCGCCGCCATGGTAACTCCAAGTGACTGCTCACTTAGGATACAGGGTATAGAGGTCAGGCGCAGACTCTGATCCAAATCCTAGCTCTGTGACCTTGGACAAGGCTCGAGGAAGTGACTCCATCTGAGAGTGTTTTGGGCCAGTGAGAGGGCTCAGTGGGCAAAGGCACTTACTGCCAACTCTGATGACCTGAGTTCAATCCTCGGGACCCACCAGGTGGAGATAACCAATTCCCACAAGTTGTCCTTTGACCTCCCCCACACACACATGCATGCCATGGCATGCATGCACATACCCATAAATAGTTAATATCTGCAATAAAAACTTTTAAAAGTATTCTGAGCATTAAACGAGATGATGCAGGTAAACCCTGAGAACAGTAGGATTATTGGCACTGCTACTATTTACTAATCTGAAGTTGTATCGGTGTGTAAGATAATCATTTCTGTCAATTATGTGTGTGTGTTGTTGTTGTTTCCCAGAAGCCATTCATAGGTGATGTCCGACTAGAGTTCCAGGCAAAACAATCAAAGGGAAGAGCTGTGCTGAGTGTCAAAATCCAAACCTGGAAAGCAAGCACAACTCGGTCCTGACTTCCGGGTCCTCTGCTTGACGTCACTGGACTTGTTAGGAATGATGATGTCTCAGGAGCAGGATCAATATGAGCCCTGGGAAGGCCCAAGAGAGGGCAGTGCGGTGAGCGATGCACCCCACACTGGCATGATCTAGTCTACTCACTTGGGACAAGAGGCTGCCTCTGAGGCTGAGCTCTTTGGGTACCCAGCTGGCAGGGTTTCTGAGCCCTCTGCAGCCCGTTCCTCCACTTCCATGCAGCACCCAGTACCTCGGCCCTGAGCGGCCTGTGTCCATAGTCTCATTGGGTCTGTCATCCCGAAATACGGCACCAAACACTGGTGCTCTCCTGCCTCCGTTTCCAAAGGTGTCTGCCTGTGCTGAAGGAGGGTGATAGGGCTGGGGAGGAGGCCACATTCATAAAACGCTTACTCTGTAAGTGTGCAGACGTGAGTTTGCCTCTGAGAACCCATGTAAATTAGTCCAGTGTGTGTGGTAGTATATGCTTGTAGTCCAGTGTGGTAGTATATGCTTGTAATCCCAGAGAAGGTGAGAGGTCAGGCAGAGCCCTGGAAGCTCTGGTGCTTTTGCCTACTTGGTGAAGTTCCAGTCCAATTAAAGACCTGTCTCAGAAGAAAGGTGGATGACACCTGGGCTGTCCCCTGATGTCCACATACCACACATGCATACACGCAGTCACACACATATATGTACAAGCACACACACATAGACACAAATTGGTGCGTGTCTTGCCACAAAGATTTTGCTTAGCTGATGGAGAGATTTAGGGCCTGTCCACAGCAGGCTGGCTCTGGAATCTGGTTCTCCAGACCCCTTCTTGCTCAGAGAGCCCTCAAGACCTGGGACTTGCCTACCATATCTATGGCAAAGGACAGAATGGGAGGGATCAATTCATCCTAGCACATTTGGAGCAAAACATGGGTCCTAGTCAGGATTAGAAATAAGCTGTCTATGTCCCAGGGTGTCTCACTCAGAATGCTGGGTGATGGAATCCCACACATGTAGTGAGGGATAGACTGTAACCAAAGGGGAAAGCAGGTCGTTGGACAAGAAGTGAACAAGGAACAGAGCCACAGCTTAGAATCAGAACATGGCCCTTTGGGAGATGTCTGCCAGATACCCAGGGCTGGGATGCCTGACCTCCTACAGGCCCAGACACCCCAGCATGCCAATA